AGTTGAAGCTGATAGTTTTAAAGAAACTAGCATTTCATATGGAGGACCAAAATAGGTGGAGAGGTCTCTGATGTTACTGCAATTGTATGGTAATTTTTAGAAATTTTATTAAATCTAGTACTCATGCCTAATCATAGGCCTGCAATAATGTGAAGATGCTGTTTTTGAGTATTCTTTGTTGGATATCCATGGACCATAGCCCGTTTATGAAAGCATCTTGTTTCAATTTAGCTTGATATTGTTCCACTGATACTTAAGAAAATGAACAGTCCTTACTTAGTTTTATCAAAGCTTAATAAAATCTGTCAATGGAGTCTGAGAGCAGTTGACACCTTGTAGCCAGTAAGTGTCTAGAGGTCATTTCATTTTTCTTTTTAATGTAGAAGCTGTCCAGTATTGTTAAAGCCTCTTTGTAGGATGATGCATCCATGAAATACTTGTAAACTTGTGTTGAGACATATTTGGTGAGATAATGTAGCTTATTAGAACTTTGATTTCAGTATGTACTCAAGAAGTTCATAAAAGTTACCCTCCAGTGATGATATTCCAGTTCAGTGTCAGACGCGTTAGGGTTAATAATAAGTTTCTCTGGATAGAGTAAATTAGTCATTATCAAAATGATTAACAACGAGAGTTCATTAAATTGTAGTAGAATTGTTTGGAGCAATAAGTTTTTCCTTATCAGTAAACTTTAATAAACACTGCAGAGTTCTCCTGAATATATGTGTTCAGGACAGACTCTTTACAGGGGAAAAGGATCATACAACACATGGTAGATGCAATAAGGAGTGATTGGGAGAGCAGGCTTTAAGATTTTACAATCCAATGACCATTAGATCTTCTTCATGTTTTTGGGCATTGTATAGGACTACCCTGTCCTGATTTAGCTAACTGTAACTTTTAGATTTGCTATTGAGATACTGTGGATGAGATTAAGTAGTATGTGATGAGGCAGCTGATGGTAATCCTAAAACAAAACAAGACTCTGCAGGCTGTTTTGATAAGTGGAAGAGATACTGATATAAGTGCGTGAGGTCCCAAGGATATTAATTTTGCTAAGGGCTAAAGTGCTCTTGTCCTTTTCTTCTTCTTTTATGTGCTGTGTCCATTCAGGATATAGGCGATCATGGCTCTCCATTTCTTCCTGTCCTTAGTAGCTCTCAATAAGCTTTAAGTTTTTGTTACTTCTACCAGACCCTGTTCCAACATCCACTTGCTTAAGCCTGTTAAGTATGTCACACATTGCTTTCCTTTGTCCCTCTATCCACCCTGTGAGTATCAGATTTTCCAAGCCCTCCTTTCTGATTACGTGTTCCAGAAATTTCAGCTGCTTTTTCTTGATGTTAAGTATGAGTTTTCTTTTTGTTTGTATCTTCTCCAAAACCTCATCGTTGCTCACATGTTTGGTCTATGGTATCCTTAGCATCCTCCCTAGTAGGCTATATATTTTTTCATTCATATTAAATATCTGGATACTTTCTGGGCATACATCAGATATAGTATTCCAACCAAATGTATATAAACCTTATTTCAGTCCTAATATTTCCTCTATGGCTAACTCTCTACCTATTTCTGTCTAAAATTCAATCTACCATTGTCTATTCATGTCCACTGATTAAAGATTGCTTTTATTTTTAAATCTATTACTTTGTATGTATTATATTCTGACTGTAAACGTTATTTCATTTAAAAATGAGCCTAAAAGAAGCCAGCCATGTTTACAAAATTACATTAATATGCTTAAAATTGTGTGCTACAAAAAATCATGGAAAACTGTTCATTAGAGTAATGGAATTTTGTTGACAATTCTTTATCCTCAGAATCATGTTCACAGGGTGTGTTGTTGTTATGCCACTGTAACGGACGAATCTGAGTAAATATCTTCAGTGATTGCCACAGAGTAAACTCTACTTGCAAGCCATTTAATTTTATCTGGAATTTGATCCTCAATGAGGTTTATTTTTTTAATCATTACACCCAAAGCAAAGTGATAATGCCACTAGGATACAAAAAGTTGCAGGGAGTGAAAAAAAGTGGGAAGACATTTGTGAGAAGTGAGGAGAACAAACAATAAAAAAAAAACATGATTCGGGAAGAAAGAAGATGGCGTTTCATTTAAAAGATACACTTTTGAAAATAACCTTCAACACTCTTTATCTACTATTTTTAAATCATTTCACCTCAAGCAAAACAAGAATGCAACTAAGATGCAAGGGCTTATTGGGATTGAAAGAGAATGACAGGACTTTAATGAAGGGAAAGTACAATAAAAGCACAAGATACAGGAAGACACAAAAAGACAACTGGGGTTGCATTTAAATTTTTGAAGATCATAAGATAGCAGGGATACAAAAAATCATAAGAGAGTTCCACAGGTAAGAAATGTGAGAAAAAAAAAACTATTCAAATAGAAAATTCAGTTGCATCTAGCTAGTTCAACAGTAAAATCATGAGATTTGCTAGATTAAACAGAACTTAGCAAATCTTTTTCCAACAGTTGCTTAGGTATTCTTTTCATTCTTACACCACATTAGCTCGTCCATTTGACAAAACATTTATTATAAGCTGAAAAGAAATGATGGCAAATCTACCATTTTCTAGAAAGGGCTGTTCTTTTTTTCTTTTTCTTTTTTCCTGGATAGTTTAGTTTAGTTTTTCCTTCCGCTTGTGCTGTTAGGAATCTCGGGGAGATACAGTCATCTGTTCGCGGCAAGGCAAGTGGCCTGGAGGAGAGATAACTCATGGGCCCTGAGAGTGTCTGCCACTGAGTCACTCCAGCATCTTCTTGGTCTGCCTCTCACTCTCCAGCCAGAGTATCTGAGGGTGTATGCTCGTAGGGTTGGTTGGTTGATAGGCATACGAGTGAGGTGTCTGAACCACTTAATCCTCTGTCGTTCGATGTGTTGTATTATTGGTATTGCTCCTACCATACCTCCTCTTATAGCCTCATTCCTGATCTTGTCTTGCCTGCTCTTGTTCACTGCTCTCCTCAGGCATTTCATCTCACAAGTGGTCAGTTTCTTCTCAAGGGTTTTTGTTATGGGCCATGTCTGGCACTGGTATGTCAGTGTTAGTAGGAAAATGGTGTTGATGAGATTTGCCTTGGTGCTCATGGAAATAAGGTGTTTTAAAAGAGGAGTAAAGCCCAACCCCTTGTCCTTGCTGTGGGAGGTGGAAACAGGTAATGCTGGCCAACAGGGCGCTGGTGAATCTGTGACTGGCTTAGCAGGCCTACAGTGGATAAAAATTTCTCAAGGAAACAAAAGGAAACAAAAAGATTTTTCCTGAATGAAGCTCTAAAACAGAGGTTCTTAATATTTTGATGATTCCAGACCCACAATAGATTGTCCAATATGGTCCCATACCTCCTTCACTTGACTGTCAAAATAATTATTACCAATCCTATTATTTGCCATTATGTCTTCCAAATATTTCAAACGCTTGAATTTACTGTACTTTAGCTATGGATCGCTAGGAATAGAACATGAAAAAAAACCATATGAATTGATAACTTTATTATATTTTTTTTACTGAAAGCAAAATAAAGTTATAATTCAGTTTTATTACACATGAAAAAGGAAGAGACTATAAATGTGCAAGTTTTTTTAGTATCTCGACTACAATAAAACAGACTTTTACTAATCTAGTGAGATATTTACTGCTGTTTTTGCGCAATCAAAGCATGGAATCATGGTACAGTTACTGACAAAGCTACTCGCATGTTATTTGACACATCAAGTTGATTTCTCTAGTTTGATTTCAGATTTAATAATACAGAGAATCCTGTTCCACAGATATACGTAGTTGTGAAGGGAAGCAAAACATGCATTGCCCTAATTGCCAAACTTGGGTAAGCAGAGATTTGTTCACAGCAAAACTGCTTGACATCCATCCCAGACCTTTTCAAAATCAGCTTTCTTTCTTGGGTCCTCTTGGAATTCAATGAAATCATCCTTTGATAAATCGTTATCACTCATTCTTGATATATCAAATGAGAAAGGGTTTTATATCCAAATCGAATCCATGCTAAGATCATCAATATCTAAAAAGTAACCCTCAAAATTTGTACTTAGAACTTCCAAATGAATTTTTTCTTCTTGAATTATTTCTACAGGTAGTGTTTTAACATCTCCAATAAAAGGATATCGGAAAGGATTGGAAAGTTTGCCAGGTTTCCGCTTTCGACACAATGACTCCAGATAGGTAATTTCCTTGTGAATGTGACAACTTTTCCCCTGGCCTGAATGATGTCCACATCCCTTCCCTGTATTGATGTGTTCAAATCATTGAGAAGACTGAAAATATCAGCCAAATATCTCAAGCTAACAATAAAATGCTCATCTTCAAAATGATTTGCTGGAGGGGATTGTTGATGCTGGAGAAATTAGAGAACTTCATCCCGGAGTTCCACTACACATGTGAAAACACTGCCACGACTCCGCTAATGTACCTCTATGTGGTACAGCAACACTCTGTGTTCCGGTCCAATCTCGTCACAGAATTTTTTAAACAGCTGCTGATTCAATGCATGTCCATGAATAAAGTTGACTGTTTGCACAACTATTCTCATCGCCTCTTTAAGTTTCTTTAGCAATGTTTTGGATGCCAGAGCTTGGCAATGTAGAACACAGTATGTGGTGAGTTCATGTGGAGCTTTCTCCTTGACCATAGAATTGAATTCAGATTTTTTGCTAATCATGGCAGGAGCACCATCGTACAAATAGACTCAATCAAATCCCATACCAGCTCATGGTGATCAAAGAAAGATTGGATCAGCATGAATATGTCAACTGCTTTGGTTGTTGTTTTGAGTCGTTCACAGAGTAAATACTCTTTCTTGATGTTCTTTCATTGTACATATTGTACAAATACAAGCAGTTGACTGTGGTTTGACACGTCAGTTGATTCATCGATCTGCATGCTTATTTTTGCAGGACTTTGTTTAATCTTGCTGATAACTTGAGTTGTTATGTCCTTATGTCTTTTATTCTCTGGTGTACATTGTCGTTGTACAAGGACACCTGACAGTTGCTTCGCAGCCTCTTCTTCCAGCACAATTTTTGCCATCTTCAGTGCACAGGGTTTCACGAGGGTCTCCCCTATTATGTGGGTCTTCTTTTCTCTGGCAATCATGTATGAAACTTCATGTAAGAGGCTTCCAGAAGAGGTTTTCTGGAGCAGAAAACCCATATGATGAAAGAGTTGCTTTCTGATCATAATGAACACGTCTCAACTTAAAAGCTTCAATCGATGTGTCAGGGTGTGAAAGAATTAGGAATAGAAACATTAATAACGAGCAGGAAGAGAAAAGAGTTATCAGGAGAACAATAGATAGTGATTGATATTGCATTTAAATTTTTGCACATTAAAGTTACCGGAAGGGTGTTCTACAAGCAACAAGTGCAAGAAAAGAAACTGTTAGCATAGAATTTACAGTTACATGTAGTCAGCTCAACTGTAAATTGATGAGATCTCAATGCCAGTCTAGTACTGTACTTAAATTCAAAAAGTCAAGGTACCATAGTGAAGAGATCATTTGAACAACTACCATGAAAGTATTTATAGAAAAGGCACAGAGAGACAACATTATTGCAATGAGAAAGTGACTGAAGCCGAGCTGCCAGATTATGACCAATAATATTGCAGATTCTTTTTTGGATTTTATCAAGGAGCTCAAAGTAAATAGCAGGGGCATCAGATCATATGTGGCAGCAATATTCTAAGCATGGCTGAATGGTAGACTTATAGATATATAAGATAGATTATTGACAGAGGACAGAAAGTGTGGCACTAAGATCTGAAGACGTATTGGGATGGCCAAAAACACATTCCAAAAGCTAAGTAGAGTATTATGAGACAGGAAAATTTTGTTGGAAACAAAGAAAAGAGTGCTGAAGTGCTATGTGATATCTGTCTTCCTGTATGGCAACAAATGCTGGACAATCTCCTCAAAGATGAAGATAAGACTTGAAGCAACAGAAATGTGGTTCTACAGAGGGATGCTAAAGATACCATGGGCCAATCATGTGAGCAATGATAAGGTTTTGGAGAGAATGGAAACAAAGAAGAAACTTATACTTAACATCAGAAAGAGGCAGTTGAAATTTATGGGATATGTAATGAGAAAGGAGGGCTTAGAAAATCTGATACTCAAAGGGTGGATAGAGGGACATGGGAAGTGACATACTTAATGGACTTGAGAAAGTGGATGATGGAACATGGTCTGGGAGAAATAACAAAAAGACATAACTTATTAAGAGCTACAAGGTACAGAAGGATGTGGAGGGCCATGATTGCCTATGTCCTGAAGGGACATGGTACATAAAAGAAGAAGATAGATAGATTCTGGAGAGAAAAATTGTCTAGCATAAAACAACCAACTTTCTTAGCAGTTTGTGCCAAACAAAACTTAGGAAATATTTACTTTTATTCATAATGCAAAACACAGATGTACATCCATCTCTTATTAGGTATGGACACAAAAAATATGACAATTATATCAATTAACTAGGTATCAACGATATATATATAAATTACTGATCATTAACAACAACTTTCTTTATGCTTTTTAATGTATTTCTGTAGTAAAATCATTAGCAACGCATTTACATTATATTATATAGTGGCCTTTTTTAAATCATTTCACCTCAATCAAGGCAACATAGCCACTAACACGCAAGGGGTTACTGAGTTGAGAAAGAATATAAGAAAAACATTATTTAGAAGCAAGAACAATAAAAGAACAGAATTTAAGTGTGGAAAAAATCTTTTAGCATAGAACTTGCATAGGACACCTCTAGCCATTTTGACTGTGAAATGGTAAGATCTTGCTGCCAATCTAGTAATGCAATTAAATTCATAAAGTCTAGGTAACATAGAGGAAAGTGATATTTATTCTGTTTTCTACAGAAATGTGGCACAAGGCCGAAAAGGGGATTGGGGACAGTCTTCTTCTGTCTTTACTATAACTTAGCTAGCCGCAAACACTGACCCAATCATACAAACAATATTCCTTACACCAAAACAACACATTCATATGTACCTTTCTTACTACAACCACCATAATACCTCTTTGTCTCTATGAAAACACTAACTAGTCCCCATATTTACAATTCATTGTCTCTCGGGGGTGGGGAATAAAACAACAATTCTAAAAAAACTAGCCCCAATGAAAGTTAATCCTAACAATTACCATGAAAATATTTATAGAAAAGGCACAACGAAGCTATATTATGGTGGTGAGAAAGTGACTGAAGTCAAGATGCCAGGTAAGGACAAATAACATTGCAGATTCTTCTTTGAATTTTATTGAGGATTTTTGAATATATAGCAGGAGCACCAGACTAAATGTAGCAGTAATATTCTAAGCATGGACAAATGGTAGACTTGTAAATATGTCTAGCATGAGGCAGTGAACCATCCTTCCTATCAACAGAGCTAGAAATTGTTTTGATATAATCTTTTTACTTTATATCAGTGAGATTATTTTGTGCAACTCAGTGACTGTTCATCAGAATGATGTGGTAATTGTGTTCCAATCAGAAGGTTGCATGTTCATAATATCTCAGTGTTGGGGCCACCCACCTTCTCATCAGAATGGACTGATCTCTCTACTACTAATAGGACAGTTCTATAGAGTTCTGGGAAGATCAGGTGACCATCACACTTCCGTCTCTCTACCGGAAGATACAGTTGGACTTTATACTCTTTCTGATTGTTACTGACTAACCTGCGTTCGTTTGACTACTAATCTCTCTGTTGTAAATACCTCTTCAGATATACCAGTATTTTTCCCTATGTATGTGTTTGTCCTTATTTCAATACACGCACGGGGAAACACTCAACATCTCAACACTCAGGGTCACCAGTGTGCATAGGTGATAGGATTTTCATTTTATCAGAATTTTGGAAATAAAATGAACTGATTTAAGGATTTAAAATAAATAATATATTTTTATTTACTTTCTTTAGAGTGATGAGTGAACCATTGGTTATTTGGTGTAGCAAAAGTTAATTAATTATTGGTAGCAGTCTGGAGAAATGTCCATTAGTGGTAGTTTGAAGTCAGACCATGATAGGGATACTATTAATCTTAGAAAGAGTTCAGTGTCATTCTATTGTGTTTTGCTCGGTCTTAAACACAGCAGAAATATCATTAGCAGATGACCTCTTAACTTCTTCTTCATACATCACGCATGGCTTGTTTCTACCTGGCAGTGTCTCCATTCATCCTCACACATCTCTCTGTGTTGTAGCATACCTATGGATGATAATGGATAGGTCCCCATTCACATAAATACAGTAGTAAATACTGTATGTTGGTCTGCAGTTAGAGATTCATTGTGGAATTCACTTGACTCACTTCTAGCAGATGACTACTTCTTCTACATGCTACTGGCGAATCTTATATGTGTTGTTCTTGTCCTAAGTATTATCATTCATTAGCAACCTTCATTTGATTATTCTATTCAATAACCTTCCCTAAGTTACAACACTCTGGTTTCTAGTGGAAACGTGTCAGCTTATATACATTTTGAACAGGCTCAAAAACTCTTGTGCAAACATTAGTTTTGGCTAACATCAAGTGTCCCTTTGTGTCAATTCTTTTGATTGGCCAAAATTATTTTGTTTTCCAGCATTCCTTTCTTTTTCCAGTTATGCATGGATCCTTTCTGATTTTTGCTATTTTTCACTCGCATATAAGTAGGTTCTGCTTCTGCAAACTTCTGGTGTTTTCCAGCCGGGTTCAGTCTTTTATTCTTCTTCCTCCTTTTATTTGAGGGTTGCATTCTCACTAGTTGAGAGAAGTATAGAAAAAGAAGTTTAGAGAGAGAGAGAAGAGAGAGAGAGAGAGAGAGAGAGAGAGAGAGAGAGAGAGAGAGAAAGATAAGGGTTTTAAAGAAAAGCATAAATGTTTTATTTTAATTAGAATTCTTTTTATTTTTTGTTTATATATTTTATTTTTATATTTTATTTTATTTTATTTTACTTTATCAGGACTCACTACAATGTAAATATACCAATGCTATATATTTAGAGATTCTTGATAAAATTGAAGGAAGACTCTGCAATGTTATTCGTCCTGACCTGGCATCTTGACTTCATCTTCAACCACCATAATATACTTTCACTGTGTCTTTTCTATAAATACTTTCATGGTAATTATCCTGATGAACTTTCCTCTACAGTACCTAGACTTTACGAATTTAAGTGCAGAATTAGATTGGTGGCAAAGGTTTCACAATTTTACAATTGAAATGACTAACAGTTTATTTTTTCACACTTAATGCTTTCCAGTCAACTTTAATTTTCAAAAATCTAAATGTAATGTCAATTGCTATCGTCGTTTGTCTTAATTCCTGTTCTTTTATTGCTCTTTCTTCTTAATAGTGTTTTTCTTTCTCATATTCTTTAACACTCAGGAACCTCTTGCATCTTAGTGGATCTATTGCCTTTCTTGGGGTGAAATGATTATATATATATATATATATATATATATATATAATACCCTTGGGAAAGGTTTTAATCCTCTTCTTCTCCCTCCAGCTATGGGTAAATAACAGGACAGACTGGGTTCTATAGCCTTGCATGGCAACTGGTCGAAGAAAAGGACATGGAGAGGGTCGTTTGGAGACCTTGTGACACGTAGTGCACCAGGTCTCTGTATTCGGCTCATCAAAAAATATGGTTAGTTCTGCACAAAGCCTTCACCACTATAATCAAATCATATGTGTGGATGTCTGGCTGTCGGTTTCTAGGAACTGAGTAGTTGTTTGACCATCATACGCCGAATATGATGGGAGAGTCCAGCATATATATATATAACTGTTTTAATGCCTCAGCATTTTTAGATAGGTTTTTATGATGATTATTTCCTATCATCATGTATCATTTGATCCATGAAATTTCCACAGATTTTGCTAATTGACTGAGATTAATCATTATGGGATGGCATAATGTGTATGCTTTACCATTTCACTGAAGGAGCCATTAAACACATAAGAGCTTTACCACTTCATCTACCTACCCTTTCTTTTTTCTTTCTTTCTAGCAACACACATACAGTTTCAACATCACCCAGAGAGAGGTTAGCCAAAATAAGCAAAAGGGTTAGGCATTTCTGTCCACTGTTGACTATGCCAAATCTTTGTGGGCAGGGGACAGGCAAGTTATTATAGATAAAGCATACACTAACTTTCTGTTTGAGGAACGAGCAGAATATGGTAGTGCGAATAAATATTAAAACTAAGAGAAAGTAAATAAACAAAATAAACAAAATAAAATAAAAGCATTTGACTTCCATATACAAGACACACTTATGAAAAGCGGAAACCAATTATCACCTGCTTATCAAGTAACATTTTAAAAAAAATTGAATTAAATTTTCTATGACAGTATTAGATTTTTTAATAGTTTCTTTGAGCATAATATCAATTTTGTCACCTCTTTAGGAAATTTAATTCAATTGTTTCATGCAAAAAAAAGTTATAATACAGTTGTTTTACAAAAATAGAAAAAAGTTTGGTTATCACCCATTTACTGTACAAATGATAAATTGCTACTGCTTTCCTGAGTATGCCAGGTAAACTGTAGCTGCACCATAAAAGTAAATTCTGAGTTAAATATTGCAAAATGCAGCCTGCAGAGTCAGCTGTCTGAAAGAATTCTGCACCTATGTTAGGCCATGAGAACCCCCTTAGTAGACCAAGCATAGAAATAAGTACAATATGGAAACTGTTAACAAAGAAAGAAAAAGAAATAACCACAAGATTTTACAACCATAGCAGCAGTAGAAAAGAAAAGTCTTGGTGAGTGCAATCAAGCAGCACTCATCAGCAGGCAGATTAGGATTAAGGCTCCAAATTTTCCACTCAGAATTTTCCCATTCATAAATTTGGTGACATTGTAATTGTGAATTCAGTCCTTGGACCAGTGTATTAGAATCAGAGTGAGCAATAACTGAGACGTACCAAATAAGAACTAGATGAGGCATGATTGGTAGAATAAGAATAATCTACTTCCTTAGATTAAATAAAGTGTTTAGTTCAAAATTCCCTGAAGGTTACCTGGATCAACAAGAGATCCCAATGGCTGAAATATTGTGATAACAAAGATGAGGACTATAATCTGCATGTGAATATTGATAACTCCTCATCCCAGAAATTCACACAGAAATCTTAGAGTCAGCATTAAGAAAATCTGTTAATAGATAGATAGATAAATAGATAGATAGATAGATAGATAAGATCAAAGATGAGGACAATAGTCCACATGTAAATAACGTAAATAATGATAACTCCTCATCCTAGAAATTCAGACAGAACTTAAGAGAAAGTATTTCAAACATGTAAGGAAAATTCTTGAAGCAAAACTAAATGGTGGAAATATCTATGCTGTTCTGCATCATTCTTAGATTAGAATTATACACAATTAGAAGAGATGGATAGAAGAACTCAAGCATTAATAAAAAAAAAAGCTCCCAATCCAAACAGTGATGTTAATAGGCTGTATATTACAAGAAAGGAGTGTTGAAGAATCAGTGTCTTTGATTATTCTGGGCCTTGAGAGTTATGTTAAGAGTTCTTATGGATTGCTTTTGACAATTGGACAAAAACGGATAGGAATCTAGAAGAGTGTTGTGAAGTGACTGTAGCAGAGAAACAGTTTAAGAAGTGATCATGACAATTTAAAAGAAATCTTCATAGTCAGTTTTTTTTTTCTGCTGACAGGGACAATTTCTGGCTTGGAGAGGTAGTTTTGGATGAAACATAATAAGTTTGGTTATCACCCATTTACTGAACAAATGATAAATTGCTGCTGCTTTCCTAAGCATGCCAGGTAAACTGTAGCTGCACCATAAAAGTAAATTCTGAGTTAAATATTGAAAAATTTTGCCTGCAGAGTCAGCTGTCTATAAAGATGGAAAAGGAGTCATGTATATTTGCAGTACTGATTCCAACCATTAGAAAGTATATAATCATGACTAAGACAGACAAATTACAAAAAGAAATCAAATGCAGGATGTGTGGACAAGCTGATTAGACAGTTGAGCACATACTCACCGAACGTCCCAAGTCCACACAGAAGGAGTATAAATGACTGCATGAATAGAATGGTAAAAGAATCTATTGGGAATATGCCATAAATTTAGCATCATTGTGGGAAGTAGTTGGTGTGAATATTATCTAGTAGTGGCAGAAAATGAGTTATAAGGTATTATGAGATATCTTTGTTAAAACAGATCCTGTTTTAACAATTCTGGGTCTTCACGAAGCATGAAGACCCAGACATATTGTTACAGATAAAGAGAGTAGCAAGTGTCAAATTATTGACTTTACTCCTATATTTTATATGTATCTGAGTGGACTCCAAAGAAACTGAAAAGATGGAAAAATACCTGTACTAATGGGTCCACTTGAAACACTCCCTAAAAATCAGAAATAGCACTTAGGGGAAATTAAAATTGAGTCCAAAATTGTAGATCTCTGTAAAACTTCCATCCTGCGAGGATTCTCCGAAAAGTTCTTTCGTGAGGAGTCTTGTTGACACCATACCCCAACAACAGTATTTCCATTGACTATACTCAACTCTCTTGTTGAATTCGACGTATGAGGATCAAGCAGATCAGTTCCTAGGAACCGACAGCCTGACACCAGCACATGAGATTTGATTATAGTGATAAAGGTCTTGTGCAGAACCATCCACACTTTTTGAAGAGCCGAACACAGAGACCTGGTGCACTACATGCCACAAGGTCCCCAAACAACCCTCCACAGGTTTTAAATTCAGAGTTGCCCTTCTCCTAGACCAGTTGCCATCCAAGGCTATAGAACCCAGTCTGTCCTGCTATTTACCCATAGCTGGAGGGAGAAGAAGAGGACTCATACCTTTCTCAAGGGTATTAGCACGTAAGTGAATGTAATGGGTTCGACTGGAATTTGAACTCTGCTCTCCGATTCCTCAATCCAAGCCTCCTTCCATTGACTATACCTCCATCATAATAGTAACAATGATAATAATGCAGTGAAATTCTGCTGTATAGAACATATGATATATAACAACAAAAGAAATCTGATATTAATAGATTGTATAGTGCTGCCCATCTTACAAGAATGCGAAAATGTCACTGCCTTTCTTCCAAGATCAAATATAAAAATTTATATAATTAAAAAGAACTGTAAAATTGTATAAAAATATTAAAAAAAAGAAAAGGGTAAATAAAAATTAAAAATAACTAGGTTATTTTATTACACTTTCTTTTGAGGAGAATGTTTTAAAAAAATGGTTTTAATTTAGTAAAAGAAGAAAGTTACCAACATATATTCTTTAAATAAAATGCTGCTTGGAGGTAAAAAGCAGAAGGGATAAGGCTTTCACAGGCGAAAGTCACTAGCAACTGCTAGGAGAGCAAAAGGCTGAAAGGTTTTGGCATTCACAAATGTGATGCCAATGATTACTATGATGATGAAAAGAAATAATGACAAAGAAAACATTAAAAGCTGACCATGCTGCTGATGGCAATGGAAAAGACAGTAACAGAAGAAAAAGAAAAGGAAGGAACTGAAAGAAAAGAAAACAGAGAGAAGTTTCTACAAATTTACAGAATATATGTATAAATGTCTCACTTTGTTGTTATGGCATATATATGTATATTTTACTAACCAAAAACAGCAAAATAGCCCATCATGACAAGAATACAATTATATTTCTATAGTTATTTGTGAAAGTGTTTCGCAAAATTAGAGGTATTAACCCTGATTTTGAACTTTTTATGAATATACAAGATTTATCTCGTTTTCTAAACAAACCAGAAACCCAGTGACAACTGTGAATTTGCCTCAACTCCTTTTGAAAATCGTATGAATAGAAGTAAGTGAACATTTTGTTGATACTAATTATAATTGTTTTT